TTTTTTTAAAAATCCCAATATTCAGCACTGAATTGGTTCCAGTTTATGAAATCCTTGGAAGCCCCCCCACACACACACTTCCAGATCACTGCTGAAAGTCTTCAGCAACTTATTTTATACTCCAGATAATTATCTTGCTACTGGCGAAGTCCTCAGAAAGTCAGTGCCTGAAAAGAAATACTATAGCTGGCAGCCTTGTCAGCATCTCTTCCTTCGTCACTCTCAAAGACTAGGCCATTTCATGGCTGAAATGAATTAAAATGGGTTTCTGACAATTTCCAAAGCAATGAGGCATTCACTACCAATCACAAGAATCATCTTTGTGCCATATTTCTATCGAAATGAACTATATATATTCCTTAAGCTAAGCACTTTCCAGCAGAGCTTTCCCCAACTTAATGCCCTTCAAATTTGTTGGCTTTCTGTTCTCATAATTAATCCAACTCATTTGAAGGGGACTGCACTGGGGATAATTTTGATAATACATTCTAAAGTTAAAACCTTCTGGATGCATTTAGGCTCTTGTGTATATTTAGTAACTATCTCTGATTCTATGATTTAAGAACAATCCTTAGCATAAGATATGTGACCGCATATAAACATTGTTATTGCAAACTTAGAAAAGCTGGTGCTAATCTAGCAAAATATAGTTTAAAAGTAGGAATACAGTAATTGGTTGATTGTACCAGAAAGGTAAACCTTGTCCAGATCTTTGAGGTTGAATTACAATCAGGGTATTTTAGGAATAGCAACGTGCCAGGGAAGCAAAAAAAAAAAGGAGCATCAATGGGTAAGATTTGTGAATATGCCAGGGTCAGCAATGTGAGTCCTGCAAAGGCTTAAGTAGGGTCCGTCCATCAGGCTCAATGCTCCACAAGACTTTAAAAAAAAATTATTTTAATAAATAGAAAGCTAGCATGCTCTAATGCAGTGATGACGAACCTTTTGGGCTCAGTGTGTCAAAAATTCAGAGTCATAACTTGACTCTGCTGGTATGTCACCCCCCAGAACAAAAGAGAAATAATTTTTTGTATATTCATCTATTTAAAAAAAACACAGTCCAATCACGTGTGGTGCTATGGATTATATAAAGAAACATCAAATAATTACAAAAATGAAATACGAGTAAAACAAATTCAGTTGCTTTGGTAACTCTAACGGGGAGAATAGTTGTTGTCAGGTGTTGGTGAATCCTGGCATGTCACCCAAAACGTTGTAGCGTGTCACCTTTGATACTCATGTCATAGGTTCACCATCACTGCTCTGAAGTTAGCCTTCAGCATAACATTTATAGAAATGCCTTTGGGCTCCACAAAGGTCTAAATGGGCTGGCAGAAAGCATCCTGCAAAGGATATTTGCCTTCTGGTAAACTGTATTTTGTGACTGGCTAGTTTTACCATGACAGTTATTTTGCAAATCAGCAGGTTCTTCATGGTAGTCATTTTCTGAATACGAGTACAGCTTGGTCTCAAAATTTCCATACTGTATACTCTCAACCATAAAGAATGCCTACCCCTGCTATACATATATACTGTGCCAATGGCATAAAAATAGTCCTTGCATAAAAATCTCACTAATGATCATTACTCTATGGCACACAGCATGTTCTAAAGCAAGGTGTGACCCCTGCCCGTCAGAACTTGCTTTATTCTATAAGAGTCTTTGCAGCAGCTGAGCTGATTCTTTGTTTATTAGACACATATATTGCCTTGACTCCAGGACCTAAAGCACCTTGGGATCTAGATTGGGCCTGAAAGATCCAAAATCATCCAGTGGGTTTTCCATAATCAGGGCTGGATCTCTCCAATTCTATTCAAACCTTGACTACAATACACTGGGTCTCACTGCAATGACCCTCCAATAATAATCTTTTGAAGGAAGACTACATTGTTTATTCAGGCTTCAAAAATTATTTGAAAGTGGTGCTTTAGACTTTATATGAGTGCAGAATATTTGTTATTTATTAAAGCATCTCAACTTTTTTCGGGCTTCCACATAACTGCACAAGACCACCACATAACTGTACAAGACCGAGAGAGAGAGAGAGATGTCACCGCTTTAAGGAATATACTCATTAAAATTACTGCAACTAGAAGCCTGCTTTAAGAAATAGCACAAAGGGACTTGGCCTTGGGCAAGGTCCAAAGTAATTCTTTTGAATCATTTTCAAAAGCTGCATGCACAGCCATATTGTTTGTGTCCTCAAATAAGTGTTAGACAAAGGAAAGAATGAAGTTATCATAAAGTACATAGGACATTATTCTACTCCACTTTCCTTCACTATTTAATAGTCAATGAAAATGATATGAGTATTTAAAATGCAACAATACTAGTTTGGATCCAGTGATATCTAGAGTGAGCTGACAGGCATTTCTATTTGCAGAAGGCAGCCCCACAAGTTCTTTCAACTCCTACTACTGTCTGCCATTCTTCATTATGCAATTTCAGAGAAGCTCCTGAACTTCAAGAACTACTTGAGGAACAGGAGCACATGGGAAAGAAAGCCTCACTGTGTAGCAAACCTCTGTTCATCTCTATATCCAAGCCACTATGTTTTGGCAGTTTATATACCCTCCTGCATTTATCAACTAAATGTTTTGTTAAAAAAATCCTTAAATAGAAGAATATGAAGGAAAAAAACTTTCCTTGTCTCCAAAACATTTAAATCAGATTTTGTGTTTGCAGTTTTCAACAAGGTGAAGATAAAGATGTTTACTTATTGTTGTGCATTAATATTATAATTATTAGTCAATCCAAGCAATACACTATACTTATTTTCCTTTTGAGCAATCACCATGCTACTTTCTTCTCCCTCTTTGGCCCCAATCTTTCCTTAGTGATTTCTGCTACAATGCCCAACCAATTCTTACTCCTGGAAATTCATTCTAAACTATCTCCTGAATCCACCATTTCAGTTTACTTGAAACAGAATAATCGTAACTCAATAGCATGCATATCCTAGTTACAAGATCAAGTAAGATTTATCACAGCCTAAAATATTGGTGATTTTTATTGTGTACTGGACTAAACAAAACTTGTCATAATATGAGTCACTTCCTGTCCTTTTTCTTATGGCTGCCATTTTGATTCTCCTCTATCCCCATCCTCAATACTTCAGTCTCTCAGTCCATGTCCTTCCCTTCTATTTGCTTTGTCTCATGTTCTGCAGATTGCATGAGTAGTCAACTGCACGAGATAAGAGAACATGCTGAAAGGACAATGGGCTTAGCTGTAGAAGAATCAGACAGACACATCAGTATTTCTGTAATGCTGTCACCTGCTCCCAGATATTGGATAACATAATGCATAACATACATGTATTCTAGTGGATTTTGAGTATGTCAGGTTGAATACCACCTACACTTGGAATATGCCACAAAACAGGTATATAAATCAATGAAAACTGCATTATATACCTTATTCCAATCTTGATCTGAAGTTTCTAGAGCCTTTTGAAAAAATAATTCTTTCCATTACAAAGATGTAAGGGAAGATAGTGTTTTATATAAAATTGGTTAAAGTATAGCAATAAGGAGAAGAAGAAAAGATGCCTAAAGTATTTAGCTTATCAAAATAACTTTTGTGCATCTATGAAATCCAGACTTGGGCTTACTGCTGCTGTAACATATTTTCTGTACTACTAGATTGTCAGTGATGCAAAACTACATAATGTTCATTTTTACTAGAGTATATCATTTACAACACAGAGATTTTTATGACAGTTATTTAAAATGTAGACAACCATAAATATGCATCTAAAGATAATGCCTTCAGGCTGAGACATTCTCTCTGCAAGACCATTTCTACACAGCTAAGAGTAACTTTCCAATTGTAAGGAGTATGAAATGCTTTCTCTATGGGCCAGTTTCTGTTATAACTCAAAGATTTTGTACAACTGAAAAACTTGCATATACTTAGCATGTTTAAATGACTTCCAATTTGCCTAGAACCAATACAGGCAATGTCTGCACTAAGTTTTGAAAATAAACATTTTTGTCATGCTCAAGGTGAGTCATCCTATGTCTATAGATCAGGTGTCCACATTTCTTGGGATAGCTGTACACACCCAGCTATTTCATCCATATTATGTTCAGATCTAATTGAACAACTCAATCAACATAGTAGGATGTATCCAGTTAAGGTAAGATAAACTGCTCCGGTGACAACCTACTCTGAAGACCTAATTTACAAAATTTAGCTTGACTCAAAAATAATTCACTTCTTCAAAGCCCTCAGGCATTTTAGATCACAGCCATATCTGTTTATATTCTAGCATATACTTGGAACATGTACAGGAACTAAGCTGAAGGAAACTATGAAGAAACTGGAAAAAGTCAACCAAACTGTGTTTTAAGTCACTACCATATGCAATTCATTTTCTTGTTACGCAATTTGCAATTTTCCCCAGGGACACAGTCTGTAGTCCACATGCTGGATCAGATTTCATGAGCAGTTGTAGGAAAATGCAAGGCCCATGAATTTGCAAGTCAAAACTGGTGAAGACAAGCATTCCCAGACTATCATCACACACTTTCTTCCTGTGAGAAGATTTAGCAGCAGACAGAAACATTTGCCAGGATGCAGACAGAGAAGAGTGCAAAAAATTGTAGCTTCATACATTAGTTTCTACAACTCTAAAAGCAAATTCAACAAAGTGTTGTACTGCAGTCACAAGACACACATACACATTCCCCAGGTTCTTTTCACAATTCTTTCATGCGTGCACAATTCACAATTTATTTGGGGGGGGCCAACGCCCCAATTAGGCTAACTTTAGTTAATTAGGTTTCTTTTTCCAAGTTAATGGCATTCTAAAAACGTGCATTCTGCCACACAAACTCTTCTCCTTTGAGCAAGAGTTATTGTGCTATCTGCACAGGAGATTTTTGACAACAGGAAAAATAAGATACCCGCTTGCACAGCAGACTGATTTTACTTACCCCTTTGCAAGTTTTTTTTTCCCAAGAGCCAGGGAGAACTGAAGCAATTCATTCCTTACCTTTGCTTGAACTGCATCCCCCCTCTCAAACATCATCTTTAGTTTGCTCAGAGGAACATTAAACTTCTCTATTTTCCCTGATGAATCTGAGTTTTCACTGGTCTCCAGCTTTCCTATGTCTTGTCTGGATTCTCTAAGACAATTTTCCATTTCCCCACTGTCAGGTGAATGTGTTTTATCCTCTTCACTGTCAACACTGGGATATTTGAACCGGCCAAACACTCTGGAAGAGGAGTGAAGTCTTGGACTAATCCCTGAGGTTTTTCTAATTTCTGCTAGGGAAGCAGAGCCGCTTTCAGTTCCACCACCAGGGCTGACAGCCTTCTGCCTAACCTCAGCACGGCAGCTTTCCAGAGCCTCCTTCCGAACCTCCGTCCCCAAGCTTGGATTTTCCCACTTCTTCTTCAAGATGCTGAGGCTCCCCCTTTTAAAATGAGGGGGAAGCGTTTCAAAGCTCTAAAAAATGAACAAAAAAGACCAGTTATAAAAGCTGTCCCAAGGTCATGAAGTTCTTTTTCCAGTAAAGAAAGGAAATTAAATGCTCAGCAACAGTCTTCGGTACGCTGCAGTTTCAGACAGCTGTGAATAGTTAGAACCGTGCCACATGGAGAAAGCCTGGATCCAGGGCAAGTTAAGGAAGAGGGGAGGGAAAACGAAAAAGGAGCTGAAGCAGGAAGTGAGAAAACAGGATGGCCTTATATGGAAGAAAGGGAGTCCACTGAATGAGAGAGCTAGAACCAAGCCTTTGTGTCTCAACATTCTGCACAAAGGAATGGGGAACAAAAGCCACCCTTCTAGCAAGCTGCTTCAAGAATGGGTGGGAAGCCATACGAGATGGCTACTGTCAAAAGCAGCCGTGCTCCCCATCTGCTCCGCAGGATGACAAAGAGGACCCAACAGCAAGCTGTTTAAAAAATTGAGGTTTATCTTTCAAGGAACTCGTCACTGACTGCTCTTTATAAGGATTTGCTGATAACATTTCAGTAACTTTCTTCCTAACCATGCCAGCCAGCAATTTTATTTCTTTTTGCCTATTTATTAGATGTTGATCACAGACTTACGGGGATTGTGATTTGGACCACTGATTAAATGATTTAAAATAAATGGGTTCTAAAGGATTTATGCTAGTACTGGAAAACATTGTTCCATCCCTGTTTAACACGAGCATTTTACTTATGTAACAGGCAACTCCGCTGCACAACTTTTTCTAAGCAAGCCATCCACATACTCAAATTCAATACCTGCCGGCCTGTATCTTCCTAGTTTGTTGTTGCTGTATTCTGTCACGTATAAGACCAACTGAAAAATGGAACAGGTCTGCAAAGCTTTAGGTTATTAAAGAGGATAAGCAGCTACACTGGGATTAGCGCTCTTTGTTATTCTTCTGGCCACATTGTGAGTTCCACCTTGCAAATCAGTGAGAATGAAAAATAACCTTCAGAAATAATCAGTTTTTTGCTCCATTTCAAGCAGGCTCAAATCTGCAGAGAGAAGTAATAGTGCAAGATCGGGCAAGTCAGAAGTACAAACATGGGGCGGGGGATAGAAAGAGAGGAGAATTACATAAACAGTAATAAATATCAGTGCTTTTATAGCAAAATCAGGTTCCAGCACGAAGTATTCCATTGCATCTGGAAGTCTGGCATATACAGTACACTGTGACTCATCTTGTACAGTATTTGAATTCCAATTTGTTCCAATGCCCCTATGCAAAGCTCATATCTAGCAATCCCAGTTCTGTGGCCTCTGCTGACCTGTCTCAGAGTTTACTATTCAATCCTGTATGTCAAAGAATCATCAGCCAGAGTGCTAGCAGACACAGGTCCAAGAGTCAGCTCTTTAATTCAGTGAGTCATACCTAAGACAAGGAATGCTAAAAAAAAAAAAAAAAGCCAAGTCTGATAACAATCAAAAGCAGGACAGAGAGTTCCCAAGCTTACCTGAACAAAACTTTATCTAACACAGGATAATCAGTTCCAGTACAAATACTCTTAGTAAATTTGGAAGGTTATGCTGAGTAGACAGAACAGAATCAGAAGCATAGATAAGGACAAACATTAGCAAAAGCTGTATCCACATTCAGTACCCTAGGTTAGATAATTTGAAGTAAAGGTATTACAGGCCATAATCAGTATCTTTAATCAGCAATCTGTTTAAACTTAGAGCTATTTAAATGAAGTCACTTCAGGGAACATAGTACTGGGGATGTTACAGAGGCAATTCTAATTTCACTGGCGCAATAGAGAGAAACTCCCAGGATTGCAGATACTACCAGAAGGATCTATGATTGTCTAATCTCCCTTCTTCATTCACGTAATTTTCACCAGTGCTGCAGATATCCTCATCTTCCATTTGTAGCCTTTTCATGTTTTCCTCTGTGCTTCCATCTTTTTTTCTTTACCACCGCAAAGATGGAATACCTGTAAAAATTTTTTGAATGATGTGATGGTAGCTTCCTATCTGGGTTCCATCCCTTACAGTCAACTCTAACTATATCTTAAGTCTCAACCCAAGGAAAGACAATTGTTTCCTCCATTTCCCACTGGCTGTACAGGCCAGAAGTTTTAGCCAGAAACAGCTCCTCTCACTGCCTTTTCTAGGTGATTCTCAAACCAAGAGAACTGATTGAGTGGGAAAGCTCACTGCCTGCACAGCAGGGCTGCTCTTTGCTCTGCTGCTTCCTCCTCTCCTTTCCCTTCCAACCATTAATCCAGAATTTTGCATCTGAAGGCTTTGGTGAGATGGGCCCTCACATTCAGTCCAGAAATGTGATTGCTTCTACCTGTTTCTAAAATGTTTAGTCCAGCTTAGAGGCCTTCCCTAAGTGGATGCAGTCCCGGTTCTCAAATATCAGCCCCACACTGATCACATGACATCAAAATCTGGGGTTTCAGTTGCAAGCCTATGGCCCTACATCTGTGGACAGGGAAATACCATTTGAAGGCAGTGAATGCTGGTCCAGAAATGGCAATATATTGTTGCCTTGTGCTTGAAAAGTTGATCTGGAGAAGATTCTTGACTCACCCTGATTCCCAACTCCTGGGAATACACACTGCAACAGCAGGAATTTGGAAAGCACAAATGTTTGCCACAGGGAACACAGGAAAATGCTAACAATTCTCTTATATTTGTGAAGAGGGGAAGAAGACTGTATTTATAATGGACCCAAAAAACAGGACAAGGCAGTTATTAACCAGTATGTTAATACTGATTGGCTGACAATTCTTTATGCTCAGTTGTTAGCTAGAAAGGACAGGATCTAATCAGAGTTTGTAGTTTATAGTTCTCTGTGAGCCCCAGACTTGCAAACATAAATGTGCCTATAGTGTTTTGGAGTTTAATTAAATCTGAAAATAGTCAAAACAGCCCAGATCAATCTCAGGTGCCCTTAAAACTGGATTCAGAAGGGTTGGGAGATGGAAAGTCTGATTAACTGGAAAGCAAGCCTCATTTGGGCCATGTAGGAAAGTGTTTATCAGAAGGGGAAAAGAGGCAAAAACAGAAGTTTGTCAGTTTAGCTTAAAGGGGGGAGCTGGAACAACGTTAAGCTCCTTTAACCCAGTCCATCTAGTTTCAACAGCCAATGAGAATGTAGTGGTGATCCAAATGCTGATTTAGCAATGTAATTCAAAGCAAACTTCTTAAAGAAAAAAGTCACCATCAGTACACTGGATATCAGTCATTTACAGAAAGGGTTCTCATACCACATATATGAAACAATTTAACAGCCTGATCAGTTACCTGGGCTATCAATGAACATGGATATTTTGAAATGCAAGTTACAGGATGGTTGGGGTTCAGGATTTCTCTCTTAAAAGGACGTCTACAGAAGATTTTTGATCAGTGGTTCATTTTAATTATCAGAGAAAGGGAAGAAATATTCTCCAATGCTCTTTCCATTTGTAGCCTTCTATGCTACTTGAACATTTGTTCCAAAGGTTGGAGGATCCTCCAGAACAGTGTAGGAGGTGGCTTTACAGGCTTCACAGAAGGTAAATTCATAAAAATTGCCCCCTAAACTGTAACTAGTCAGAGTGGTATTCTGAATACAACTAGCAGTGAAGTTTCTGCTCACAGAAACAAACTTTGGAACCAAAATATAATACACATTAGAAAATGAACCTAAAATCCTCCTGGCATGCTTTATTCCCAGAAATAGAACATGCATAGAGGCATGCACCTGCATTACAGGAATTACGAAGACCATCTGTCACCGAGGACATTTTTCCATTGCCAATTAAAGGGTTACCCATCAGTTCTTAACCTGGCTGAACATTTGCTACTTCTAGTGCTGTTCCTTCTCTTACCTCTGTAGCCAATGTACTGAGTTGCCATTAAATGGTCATTTATGGTGCACAGGGCAAGTTGAGGAAAAGGAATGGATAATTCCTTTGCTTTTGTTTCCCTCCCTTCCCACCAAACATTACTACCCAGAGGGAAAATATCCCCCAATCCTCTCCTTAATGTGCGGTGGGAGTAGGGCTGGGGAGGAGGCAAGCTCTGACAGATGGGTAGTCAGTCCAGCAGGTTTGCCTTTGGTCAGACATCCTTCCAGCTTGGGGCAAAGCACTTATGCGGGTGGGTTCAAAGGGAGCCGGGCTAACAGCTGACTGGTGCAGAACAGGAGTTGGGTGGTGAAGCCAGAGAGAAAGCTGGCTCTCCCCTCTGCACCACACTGCCTCCCACTACCGGCCAGCTGTTAGTTAGGCTTCCTTTGAACATGGGTTTAGGTGAGTGTGGGTGAGGATGGAGAGAAAGTGGAGAGAATGAACAGGCTGTCTTCTCTTGCACTGTACAGACCTCCTAGTGCCAGTCAGGTGTCAGCTGGACTGATCCCTCTTTTAAGCCAGATCTACAAGCAGGCAGCCTGGCTTTGGGAAGAGCCATGCTTGCACCAGCCTAATGTAGCCAACAGGTGCCAGGCTAATTCCACCCTCTAGGGGTCACCACCAGAATGGTTAGTGAACAGCATCAGAGTGTACCCATGGTAAAGGTGCCATGAGTTACTGACTACTTAAGGGGCAAAACACTAGTTTAACACAGGAACCATCAAGGACAACTTTAATCATGCTGCTTCAAGGATGTGTTGGGAACAAGATGATGGTAACGCTGTAATGACATGGCAAAAAAAAAGTCTACTGGTTCATGTCATGTGGAAATTAGGAAACATTCTAATCTGAATGACTTCACACCTACATATATGAAAAGAATGAACTTTACCTCCCAGAATAAAACTTGGGCTATCCTCTGCCACTGGAAGGCTGTTCTAAAGCTTCCTTTTTGTGCATGCTGCTGTGAGTTTTGTTATGTCAAATGACCTATTCCAAAATTCGGGGCTAATGATTAGAGAAATGAACAGCATGACAACTCAGAAACAGCTTCAAACATTCTTAAGACCAGATTGTTTTTCCAACTTTCTTCATGCTGGAGCAGGAGGCAAAGGAAAGTGTTACTGGTCTCATTCTCCAACACAGCATACATTTCTGGGTGTCTTTCGTTGATGAACATGTATTCAATGCAACATCTACAAAGGGATGTGGCACTCAGCAGTATAAGCCTAGGCTGAGCACATTGGATAAACCCAGTCATTCATGGCTTATTCAGTTAAAAATGTCTAAACAAGCCATGGCTTGGCACAATGTGAATTCAGCCACTGTGTCTTTATATTATTCTTGCTGGGCTTCACTAGAGGGGTATGTGTATAAAAGGCTTAAGAATTATTATTTGCTTTGTATAGGACAAAAATATATAGACTGTAGTCAATTAATATAGCAATGAAGGATTTCAATATTTTGATCATATTAATTTGTAATTCTAGTCCTGGGATTTCCAAGATGTGGGGGAAGGGGGAGCTTAGGTAGGATTATGGAGTTCCTATTTCAGAAATGAAGCTTTGAGTCAGAAACAGTATCTGATAACAAAAAGTCTCTGAACAGCTGGAAAGTATTACTTGGCATAGCAGAGATGTTATTTTGGAAAGCAATGGTATGTTAGCTTTAGTTTCTTCTTCAGACTGCTACTTTGTTGAATAATCAAGAACTAAGATCAACCTCATTTTCCAAGACATGTTTTAGAATTTACATAAATATAAGAAATCAGCTTAAAAATGAAGGCAAGCAGAGAGGCAGAACTATGCAGACGGCATGCATCTAAATATGAAAGTTAACATTAAAACGGCATAAAAGCTGAACACAGAAGACTAGTGTGCTCTGAATTTAGGATAAATAACTTAGCTTCTCAGAATCAAAGTTTTGGGTGTCTGACACTAGTCAGTGCATAATCTCAGGAAAGTCACTTGATTTTCTCATTAGTCAACCCTCGTGGAGATAAGAAACTGGGTCACAGCAAGGCCTAAGCTGAGCAGGCTAAGAACATTTCTCAGAGTCAGCACTGGAAGAGGAGACAGAGAAACCTTTTAAGGAAATTCAAGAGTAGCTGCTAGAGGGGATCAAGAAACTGAGTTGCCAATGAGTTTTCATGCCACTATTGTATTCATACCAATTTTAAAATACTTACGCTTCTTTTTTTCTCTGCAGCCGCTTCCTCAGCTGCCTTCTGATACCTTTACGGGAAGGGATAGCAAAAGACAGAAAATAACATTTTT